CTTTATACACTTTTTGATCAATCCTGCAGGGTAGTCATTAATATGTAGCGTATCTTTGGTGTGTTTAATTTCCTTATTTAGATTTTCTGACTTACTAGTCAAACTTTTAGCCAGATTACTCAGACAGTTTATCAAACCTACCTTGACAGACATATAGTGAAGTTATGTGAAATCCAAGTATCGATTCGAATATGTTGGTTTCCTATAAATACTGCTATTTAAGCTTCTATCTTCTCTCCTCTTGATTTTGCAATCTAATATAGGAAGTTCTACTTTTTCATTTTCTAATTGATAAGTGGATTGGATTACACTTACCATCGAGTTAATATGTGCGAAGAAACTCTAGATATATTATGATTTTAACACAGTAATTATGTTATATATCGCCACCATACTTTTGGGGTGGGTTGGAATGTTCCTAATGCTAGTTGTTCCCAACTATCCATAAATATCTCTGCTACGATCGGGGATATTGGAAATCCCGTCGCTACTTCTGTTTGTTTATATATTTGCCTTGAAATTCGAAAACTGTGGAAGTGAAATTTTGAAGGGAAACTTGGCTATCGCTCTGCATGCACTCACCCATAATCCAATGTAGGTAGGTGGAAGGGGAGATTGAATCGTTCGTTGAATCAACACCTAACAGAAATGACTGATCAGATATTTCAGATATCTGGAAAATCTTCCTACTACTAAAATAAACGAAAGAGAAACTGTTGGACTGTATAAAGGAAGCTTGGAAGTCATATGATAACTTTGATATGATATGAACAATAAATTCTGCTCGAAACGTCATCCGGTAAGCAATACTGTATCACTGTGTGCTACATCAAATAAACAATCTATTATGGAATTGTTAACTAGTGTTCTCACAACTTGCTCAAACAAATGGATCGAATTCTATGTTATTGAGTGGTCTGAATATTAATATCTCGTCTAAAATCGTAAGTGTTGTGCTACCTGAGTACTGATGAATTGTGTTATTTAGTGGTGTGTTTTAACAGGATGTGTAATGGCTAGCCATCACCCATCATTACTATACATAATTAAAACAAGGAACATCGAGGCATCCGCACTGGAGCCCATTTGCCAACAGAGACTGGTCAATTCGGTGTAATACAAGCAATAACACTAGGATGTGTAATTGTTTAAATTGAGTGCTGAATTTTCGGTAATAACACAGAGTTTGAAATTGGATCATTCTTTGATTATGGGCTGGTATTCATCAAGGACTGGCACGCTTTGGATTACCATTTGAAGGCTGGGAGCACTAAATGGTTGCTTCTTCCAACTATGAGACTTCTCACCTGTGTGCACGCGTGACCCCATCAGAGACTGAACCCAGGAACTTCAGGTTCCACGGCCAGCACGTTACCATTGAGCTACTGGCTTGGAATCCATTGGTCAACATGTTCTCTTTCTGTCAGTACATGATATAGCGCAACCTCTATCCAATGGCACCGCTGAACAAGTGCACTTATGTCTGACTTGGTTTGCCTCACCGCCTACGATTTTTCACTGGAACTTCGGGAATCACTTTTCAAAGCCAGTCACTAATGAACGCTAGAGAGTAATTCAGTATAGAGGTTTGTGGGAATTTGTTTATTGATTTCAGGTTGATTATTATCATGGACTGACATGAGTTGGAGAGTCATCGGTAAAGTGGTGGCCACGGATCCCGATGATCCTGTGTTCCACTCTGTCAGGGTCGTGCGTGCGTACTACTGAGGAGTACCGCACTACGACTATACCACTCTCTAGTACTCGCATGTCTCCAACTGATGATGAATACCAACCTGAAATGAATAAATGAATCTCCGCAAACCTTCAGATTGAATTCTTGAATTGATTTTGGCGGTAATCATGTGTTTAGATTCATGATGATTATGCCTAATAAAGGAATATACTACTGCATTTGTACTGGACGTAGGTTAGATTACTGAAAAAACTGTATTTGACTTTTTTGATATTCGTCAAATTTTGAAATTCATTATAATATAGTCATCGTTTTGTAGCAAAAAAGCTTTTACTTACCAGCTCAGAAATAAGCAGGTTTTGAATGTTAATTCCTATTGTATTTACTTATTTCTAGTTGTATTGTATTTTATCGTGAACAACTGAATCATTTCCTCTTACCATCTCTCTTTCCCTAACCCAAAGTTTTGTCATGAATATATTAGGATGATTCAATTCGAACTCATATGATTAACAAATGATGATGATAGCTGCCAATTTTTTAAAGTAGTATTTCTTTTAATTTAAAAGTACTAGTTTGATGGTTATAATAATTATATTTCTAGCATTTTAGAAAAAGATTGTTGTTTCTAACTACATATATATATATATATATATATATATATATAATCCTTCTATTTAGAAAACCTTTTTATATGGAAACTTTTCTGTATTGCCATTATTAATATTTGTACTACTGTTCAAATCAATCGATAGGCTTTTTCATATACACAATATACACTATTAGCGCATACAAATACACACACTTTACACATGCACTTCAGTGGTGTACTTTAACTAAAGAAAGACCCATCGAATTAATTTTGTCTTTAACTAGCAGCATGTGTTTAGTTGCTTGCTTTTTATGTGTGTTTTCACTTGATTTTTTGCTTGTTGATATGCTTACATATTGTCTTCTTACATCATATATTATTATTACAACAACTACTACTACTGCCTACATACATACTCTTTTTGTATTGCAATATGTGGTCCTGTTTATTGTTTATTTACATATGTGAAGATGTGGCTCAGTGGTTTCAGAAGATAACTACCAATCACTGGGTAGCGGATTGGAGTTCCGCTCCACCTACCCGAGGTGTGGGTAGCCAGGTAGTATCACTAGCTGTCACACAATGAGTGTGGCTCATTACTTGCTGCACGAATATGTACAAGGTAACTGAGTGTATTCTCTCCTAAATAATTGTTATACAGTGGAAGCATACTACTAAAGTGATCGTAGCAAAGTTGAGTGGATATAGTAGGAATGATAGGCAATCAGCAATTTCTAGCGAATATGTTAACTATCATTTTGAGCTTTAAAATGTGGATAAAATTCGTCTCATTAATTTGGATAATAATATTTATTGAAAGGAAGATTATGTTGAGTGAAAATGGTGTGTGATCCAATAATCCAGGTTTATGACTTCCAACTATTTGACGGTAGTTTAAAACACACACCATCTGCTTTCTCTTGAATAGCGGAATTATCTCTGACTCACTGGATGTTTAATTATACGGTTTTCGCAAAAATAATAACCTCGGTTAACGGGTTTGTTTGTTTAATAGGAGATTTAATGGGAAATCTAAAAACACATCAGTTACATTTTGATCTGATCCATACTTCCCTAATTCATGTTGAATACTTCTGTTTCCCTTAATTCACTACCTTTTTTATGCTAAACTGTAGAAACTAAGTTGCTAATTTCATCTCTTCATTGAAAGATGATTTGGCTTCTATGATAGTCTATTTTCTATTCTGCTTGCTAGCGAACATATATCAACACGTCACATCTAGCTAAAAATTGAGAAAGTCACAATGAAAAGCAAAAAGACATTATTCATTCTGCTATTAACTTTTTATTTCAGTAACATTGTCATTTCAAGCATAACAGATTGTTTACTGCCGCCTTGCAAAACAAGCACCCTGAGTCTTAGATTACAGTTTTTGAGAAGGGCGTTACAAGGGTTATTTGATATTTTGAAAATAATTTGTGTGCCGAACTGACTCATCCTTGAATGGCGAATTGAACTCTTACATAATAAGGTCACATCTCATATTTATGCTGACTGACTTGTTTTGTTTGAACATTTAACCCAGTAAGCAAATAATAGGTGCGAATCTACTTCATCTGATTCGCTGTAGACGGTCTAGTATATTGTTACTAAACTGTATTTTTTTTTGCATACCAGGTGTCTATGATGATGAAAAAAAAATCTAAATTGCTCTCACAGTTTATTAATTTCTAGTCACACTACCACCAATCAATGCAATCACATTTGGAAGATTTGTGTGTTTGTTTTGTGTATAGCAACGTATTTCTGCAGTTCAGATTATAGGTTACAGAAATATGTTTTTCCAACGGACAATTTTTATAGTCATTCCCCCTTGTTTCAGACTCCGTAACTTCTATATAAATTTATTCATTACTGCATATGTTTGAATCAAAACCTGTTAATCCCATATGGAAGAAAGAAGCTATAAACATCTGTTTCCCTGAGATGGCTTAGCGAGACAAGCAGAATCACATACAATATTTATACTACGACCTTAGATTCCCCTCACGAAATCGTTTCCAGTCAGCTGCTAGATCGAAATCTAATGACTCCCTTTTTCCAGCTACAGAAAAGTAGTGATAAATTGCTTGATGATAGAGTATGTCTTCACTCTTGAAATATTTGAGAACTTTGCTACTTAATGATGCTGTTGCTCATGGAAAACAGCTTGAAGTCAATAAATTCTTCATTAATTATCCAATCCAGTGATTGAAATACATTATAATTATTATGAATTGCTTATAGTGTTCACATTAAACCACTATAGTTGAATCTATGACTCACTTTTTGTTTTTTCTCCTATGTCAACGTTGTACCTAGCAGTATTGTGTAACGGCGCATGAATCAACAAGGTAGGATTATGAAGGATAGACAAATAGGGAAAATGTAGTCGGGAATCAAGAAACAAAGAGAAAAAGAGCGTGAAACAATAAAGAAACCCCACATGCTGAGTAAGATGAAAATAATATATAAATTACTGTGCAACACTGTGACTGCTTCTGAGCCATATCATTCTGTGTACAACATATACTTTGCAATTTGGATCATATTCTATTCTGTTTACTTGTGCACTAGTACAGCCAACGACATCTACATTAATGTGTTAGCTGCAGAATGTTTTGGTTTGAAAGTTCGCTTTGATGTCGTTGTTTCTGAAATTCCTCCATATTCACGTAAGTGTTGTTCTTTTGTGCTTTCCATTCCTATAGTTTGACTATGGACAGCGTCTACCCTCGTTAGAAGGCAGCTCAAGTGCTCCAATTAGCAAAGGAACACCTAATTTGGCCTCGCATTCACTTTTCGCATGGCAACCGTTTGGCAGCACATCAGTTCACAACCAGCCGCAAGCTTCGTCTTTTCACGGGCAACCTGGACATTTGATTCCACTAATCCCAGGTTCGACTTCCGCTTACAGTGGGATGGTTAATTCTTCTCCCGCTAATTCAATGCCAACATCAACCGACCTAATTGAATGTCATCAGAAAAATAATTCCCACTATGCCTACTCTGCTACTTATTCTAGTTCACCTTTATCAAATAAATCTCGTCCTATTGTACTAAGCCCAGCTACCCAATCAGGGTGCTGTTCATCTGATGTGCAAAATCTACGTCTAGGAATGCTTTTGCCTAATTCCCACTCTCCAACCACTGCTCCAGTACCAGTTTATGCACCTTCACTTACATCTACTAGTACTTCTAGTTCAGCACCTCATCAGGCCTTTTGTTCGCCAAATAGCTCTTCAAATTCTAATCTATTCATTACTTCTCCAGCACTGGCTAGTCATCCAATTCAAGACCCCACTAAAATCGTCAGTCAAAAACAGCGTTCAAAAAAGGAAAGCCATAACAGAAGTTAGTTTACCAGTCTTTCACGTTTCTCTTTGTAACGTAGTAGACTGTTTTCTATATTCCAGGTATGTTTGTTGTCGAACTTGTCGTTACTTATCAGTTTGAGTTGATATTCTTCTGTAATCGAAGGTAAGATCGAAACAATAAAAACGAACTACATTCGATGATGAATGCACTAGATTAATACTATAATGTACTCAGTTATATGTCTGATGCAGGGGAAATGTTTTCCAAACATCAAGTTTTGATTTTCGTCTAGTGTAATTATTTCATCCATATACTTGACTTCCACTCAACGACTTCATGTATTCTGAAGTTGGTGTTAGAAAATTCTATGCAGCAAGCAGTCAGCACCATCAACTTGTAAGTCTGTGATTTACAAAAAACCATCTATATGCTTGCCTATCTGTACTTTGGAAACCCGAACTTAAAATATGCCCAACAACTTTTGTTGGAATGTTTCACTTTTGCCTTTTGAGTTATGATAGGCAATATTTGCACTGAAAGGCTAAACATTATAATTTCCCAACGGGTTTCAGTTATAAAGTGTGTTTTTGTCTTTGAAGTTCACAGCCTTTTTAAACTATTGTTCATAAAAAACTAGCTTGGAAATCTGCACAGCCTGAAGGAGGAAAAGGTGAACTTTCATCATTGTGCTGATTGATGTCAGTTAAGCGATCATGCACCAGACTGTATGTTGGTGAGCAAAATCGTATAATCAGCTTAAGATTGAAGGGGATCAGTGCAGCTGAAAGCTTGATAACGGCAGAGTTACTCTTTGTTGAACCTGGAAGTTGATGTGCATTGTTCGCACCAAATGTGAATAAAGCAATGGAAAAATATGTATATAACCTTCTCCATCCAGTTAAATACTACATTGTTGTTTATCATCCATCCAAATCAACATAGTACCAGGCATTACTGAGTAACGATCCAAGTTGCCACACCTCATATCAGTACATTAAGTAGAAAGGCAGTGAAATGGAAGATGAAAAAAAGCAAATCCTGTCAAAAAAATAAATAAATACTTAATATTTAAGTACGTGAAGAGAGAACGAGGGAGAATGAGAAAATGGTAAGATTCTGTAAAGCTTTAAGATGAGGATAATGTATGTGTACATCTGGACCACTGACATTGGTTCTCAGCCATATCACGTAGAGTCTCCAACCACTGGATTTTGTTGTCCCGTGGACACCAACCGACTAGTCTGCATTGCCCTACATGGCCTAAAGCAACGGTCAAAGACTTCATAGATTGGTGCCATGTTTTGGTCTGGCCGCCTCGAGCCTTTTTCCAATCTGAACCTACTTTGGTCAACATTGTGTGACGAGGCGATTGGCGACTAGGCATAGGTCACACGTGTCGGAGCCAACCATGTCAGTCGATGAGGGTTCACAGCCGTGTCAACTGACTTACGTCTTGTTCCTAAAAGTCTCCGCCTGACTTCTGCGTTACTCAGGTGGTGACACAACGGAATATGGTGTATACTACGAAGGCAGCAATGGTCAAACACTTGAAGCAAGTAAAGATAAAAATGCGTTAAAATGTAGTGTAACAGTTTGTCGATATCACTGTAAATAGGTGGACGATAGAGCCACTAAAACATTATTTTTATCCACTTACTCTGAAGGTTCATTTAGTTTTGAAATAGTAGAGAAGATTTGTAGCTCAGGATGAGGATGACAATTGTTTGGTGTTATCTGAGCTTTGAAGTTCGCTCATCACCAGACTGGGCGACTTCATCAGCATTTACTTCATAACGAATTTTTTAAAAGTCGGCTTTGTCTATCATTAATCGAGTGAAACGTAAAGTGATCCCTGGTGTTCTGTCTACTCTCCATTATCAATAAGCTGTATTCAAAAGAATGGATTGTGATAATTGGCAATAATGAGATGAATTTAAGCTGCCATGGTAGAACTTTCATTCATGAATTTATGCATCTGTGGCAGTAGTATACCCAAATATTTAGTTATAAGAACATTACATAATGTCGAATTTCCCGGTCTTAAAAAATTTTTTTTTATCCCAAGTATTTTCTTCATAATGCTATCCTTTATAGTGTAGTTTTGTAGTCGCTTTAAACATCTTAAAATTGTTACTCCTCATCATTATGTCGGTGGTGGTAGCAAGATAATTACATGTAAATGAATGTGTATTTTCGTAAGTTCATCTCATATAAAGGTATGTTTCAGAAACAGTGGATCTACTGGAGTCGGTTACTGTTTGGTCATGTTAGTTGTTTTCTGAGTGAGTGTTTGAAAAGTAGGAGGTATTATGAATTAGTTTGTCATATCGTCATTTCACTTTAGAGTATTGCATAATATGAAATGTATTATAGGTCAGAATCAGTTATGACTATGAATATTAGCGCTGTTTCGGATGATGACACTGTTTTTAGTTGATGCAGTTCAGAATCTTTTACACGTGATGAAAATTGCTCTGGTGGTTGGTGTAAATTCACTTCTTTTTTTTTTAACAGTTTTAGATATAAATTATACTAAATAAATGACTTCTTATCCAACCCCCCTAATTTTCGTATTCGTCTGATAAAGAGTTGAAGGGAATATGGTTGTAGCACAGAACTTTTACCTAACGAAATACTTCGTTTTGAACTCGGATTTTGTTGGGCTATACGGTCATTTATAGTCTTAAAGTTGAATACCTTACTGTTCATTATTCTACCACGTAAAATATTCGGAATTAATATTTTACAGGGGGTTGTTCGATTAACTAGTATAACTAGCCGCATATCCAATAAAACCGTGTAATATGAACACACTGGTTATCACCAAATCACTACTGTCAGGCTTGTGTTCACACATCTATGTCATTTTTGTTGATGACTGTTAAATTAGTACTCATAGCATTACACTATATATTTTTCTAAATGAACGCTTCTTCACCTTGACGTACTGTCTTCTGCATTCTTGTATTACTTTAGCTGCCTATGCTTAGCTTATTTTATTATTAAGCATTGCAAATGTCTGTAAAAACAATTCTCGGTCAGTTGCTATCTACTGCAAGTGATAGGTTGATTTTGTTTTGATGCTGGAGTTTTTTTTTTCTTGTTCACGATACAACTCAACTCAAAACTTACTATCCTCCTTGTAGTAACATTCATTTAAAAAAGAAAAAGGAGTATCAACACATATAAAGTAGCCTAATCAGCTTCTTTTTCAGTCAAATTTTACTAGAAAACAACATTTTTGTATAACCTAGTTGTGTTGGTATTCACCATCTGTCAAAAGAAACAACACTAAATGTATCTCTGCCAACACGAAAACTTCGTTCGTTATCGTTTGACTAGATTGTTATTTTGTTCATCATAATATATGTGTATATATAGGACACTTTGGCGTACGCTTGTTGCTTTCTTTGTTTTCTTCTATATTATGTGCTTGTTTTGTTTGTTGTCGCGTATGTGCATGAAGTTGTCACTTTAAGAATAAAGCCTTTTTACATGTCACCATTGCATAAGTATTCATCATCATCTTCGTCATAATAATAAATTACCCACACACAGATCATTTTCTAATTCAACTTGGTGAAAAGAAGAAAGTAATTGAACTTTACTTTTCCAAAGAACTTTTAAGTCAGTAGGTTGACTGATATGAAAGAAATACGTAGATATTATGCGTACATATTTGTGACAGCTCATTTGAAATTTCTATGTGGTAGGGTTATTTCGAATCTCGAAGTAGATGAGTTAAAATCTAAGCGTAAATCAACAGGAACTCCTGGACATAGATTTCATGCTTGCTGACACTCTTCAGCAAAGCATATCTGCAGTTATTAAAATACTAGTATCCCCTTAGTGGTTGAAACCGGCATCACTCATTGTTGAAGTTAGTGGCCGTACTACTAACCTCTTCATGCCATAACCCAACAACTCAATCGATTATTTTTGTTTCCTATTATTGTGACATTTAACTCTATGGAAATTCTCAGCTGTAGACTAAGAAGACTTACTATGCTGTAGTGTTGCAATCATTTTAACTAGCCGTCTTCTTCGAAATATTTCCTGATAAACTGTTGTATGAAGACTGAAGATATTTTTTCACATTTTATTTCTCCACAATTAGTTGAACGAAAGCGACGGGATTATATTAATTCACAAATCGTCTACCTCAGCAGCTTACTTCCACCAGAACTGTATCGTGATGTGTAAGTTGATTTGTTCCACTCTTAATTCACTCTTTCTAAAAATTTGATTGGGCAAACTTTGAAGATTAAGCTAGTTTGATAGTGGTTTATTGCTTGTTAATAACATTTCAGGGAATTCTCATTACATCAGAAGTTGTTCTCATTATGTTCTATAGTAAGGAATATATCTGCTTCGGTCGAAGTTCCTTGATTGATATTCAAAACAGCTAACTGTTCACACTGCTGGTATTCCAGTAGTGATACTAACCATTGTTTTTGTATTACTTAGTGTCAGACTATTTGTACTACACAAAATCTCAGGTCTAACTCATGTGAAATCATCATTTATTTGTTACATTAGATTTATTCAGTGTTATAAAACACAGTTGTCTAGAGTATTTCATAATTATTTTGACTAGCAAATAATTGGAAACATCTCTTTCTCCTTGACTCAGTTTCTTTTAACGTCGTCCATCCATAGCTTACAATATTTTGCGACATAAATCTCGCATTGTATTGAGGTTAACATGTTGATTTTTGACAAATTGTGATTTAAGGTAAGTTAAAAAGTCTATAATGAAGGTTTTGTTATTGTTTGTCTTAATCCAGTCCGCTTTATTCAATCAGATATGTACACTATTCATTATTGACACTATGCTTGTTATTACCAATAAATAGTACAATAAGGCATGCAATTGTGAACAGATATCGATTTCGTATAATACCCTAGTTATCGAAGCTGAATTTTAGTATTTATTAATTTTGCCATTATTTCATAATAAATGTTCATTTCATATGCAATCACTATAGAATGACCAGTTTAAAGTATAAAAATGGTTATGTTGTGTATATTTAATTTACTTTCATTATATCAAATATTCAATTTTTTAGAGATGGACGTCGAAATAAGGGTAGTGTTCTACGACTTTCAGTCAGTTATATTATGGAATTGCGCGAAGCTGTATCAAGAATGGAAAGTCTGAAACAAGAGAATACCATTGCACGTCAGTTAATTCCCCTTCTTTTACAACGTATCGAGGTAAGCTTTCGTGTTCGATAGGATTGTGCACTCTGCAGTTTCGTTTGAAGCGACAGTTAATACTCAGAAGAAACTGTTTGACTTGTTCCAATTTGTAAATTTCAAAACACAAAACCGTTTTTAAACGAAAATTAAGAATAGTAATAACTAAAATGAACAGAGCGAAAATGGTAAAGGTAGCTAAGCATAAACAGTAGCAGGATCTGACACAGGGTTTGTTAATAAGAAGCCATAAGAAATATTCCGAGAGCTTACTTATCTATTTCGAGTGTGTATCGCAAACGTCATGGTGTTAGCTTGCAGTTTTACTGGTATGGCTAATTAATTTCCTGTCAATTGGTCCGTTGTAATTTTACTTCAGCAGAAGTTATCCACATAAAGATAGGCTTTGATTACTACTTCTCCGTTCTTAGTTAAGCGCTTAACTACCACTCAGTTTTGTTTCTTTACAATGTGTTCAGTGAATGGTTCAAATATGAGAACCATTCTCACTGTTAGTAAACAAATCTTTGTAGAAATAAGTGCCTAAAACCAAAAGTTTCCAGTCAGCCTTTTCATCATAATTTGAGCACAGTACACTTACCAGCTATTTGTTTCTTAGCTGAAGTTGTGTTTCAATAACAGGGAAAGTTAATTGTTAGTCTCAAGTTTCGTTTTCCATAGTTTTCAGTCGTTCCACTAGTGAAATTACTTAGTGATGGAAATTTCACGTGAATGCTTTATTCATTTTTTGTATCGCCTGTTATTATCATTACAACATGAATAATATTTGTCCTCTTTTCAGAACAGTGTCTGAGTTTTTTTTCTGAATGTGGATCAATAATTTACTAGTTTCTCGCTACTTTACGTTTTCATAAAATGAAAATAGCTTTTACCTTTTTTGTTTGCCTCTTCACTTATTCTCTAACTCTGTATTTTGACAATCGTAGCATTCATTCTTGAGGAAACCTTTAGAACCGATTTCATTTGTCTGTTTTCATTTTCTGTCCTCATTCTATCCAATGCTTGTCCGTTATTTCATTAAAATTGAAAATCACTTCCTATACACTACATACTTATATATAGTGTATCTGTCGGTCGTAGTTTCTGCACGTTACCTATTGATTTTTAATGATCCGGATTCTGGACATCCAAACTAATGTCAGCCTCTTTGGCTAATACTGGTTTAATCTATTTCTCGGGCGGTGGTTTAACGATTAATTTTTTGCATAAATAAACAAATAAATCTAATAAAAAGGTGAGATTACTATCTGTTTTGTACTTCTCTTTGTAAATTCACACTTTTACAGAGTCTGGAGAAAATGACCTCAGAATCAAATGATCTGAAATCCGGACAACAGTTACATCATTCTCCATCCGCTAGTTCCTTAAGAAACTTACAGTCACTCGAAGCTGTTTATCAGTCATGGCTTTTATTAAATGAGGCAAATCAACGTAGCTGTAATGGTAGCGGGAATGCGTCAAATTTGTCGGCATCCGTTTCACGACATTCGATGCATCCTGCACAAACAAATCCAAACGATAGTCGGTATTTGCATGAATTAATGATGCAGAATGAAACGCAAGCTGATCTTGACTTCAGCAGTTCTAAATTGCACCCTGTCACATCCAGACATAATGTGAATGTAAAAAGAGAACATGGTGATGAAGAAGAACGAATAGATGATTGCAACTCATTGTGTGTTAATTCAGATACACGACGTCCAGGATGCTCATCTAGATCAAGCTTTACTGACCATCAAACATCGGATAGAATTGAAGAGGAGGTAGCATCGCAGGATGGAAGCTTTGAAAGCAGAGTACGTCTGTTCTGTATTGTCAGTCATGTTTCTTTTTTGTTTTTATCTGTAAGTATCACGTTACTTCTCTAAGCAGATCTTTTCCTATGATTAGTCACAATTTCCAGAACTGAAAGAAATCACCTTCACTTTAAGACGCAAATTTTCTCCTTTTATCTCTTTTTTTTCCTTTTTCACTCGTAAAGTAATTTTTTTTCGCTTGCATTTCGAAGTCACTTCCTAGCTACATTTTACAGAAATGGATTTCTAACAAATGAAACTCATCCTAAAGATTATCTAGCATTTCGTGCACAATTATACGACAGAGTGCTATACAAAAGCTTAGCTGCGGTTGACTTCAAAATCGAAGAATTTTGATCATGATTCAATCACCCATCCCTTAAGCTATGAAATATGATGGTTTATTCGGGTTTTATTTCGTGACTACAACATCAAGTTAATACTGGTGGTTCGGTGTTATTTGATATTTTGTTGTGAACAACGTTTAGTCTCCAGGCTTGGTAACATCTTCAGTACTAACTTCATAAAGAAGTGATAGTGATTGTGATGAAATGTCCAAAACATAATATCAACGTTCGGAAAACAGCAAATCACCACCATCCTAGTCCTAAGCTACAAATTTTTTCATCATTTCAATAGATTCAGTGCACATTACAATAATCGTCTATTATTATTATCATTATTATTATTATTATTATTATTATTATTATTATTATTATTATTATATTATTTTACCCTTGGGATCCTAGTGGAACATAGAGCTTGAGTAGCACGTCACCACTGCACTCTGTTCAATCCAGTCTTCTTATCCTATCTCCACGACTACCCATAAACTTTCATTTCATCCTCACACCATCTCCTCCATGTCACTATCGCTTCAGATGCACAACTCGTCGTTTCCCATTTGGCTCCCACTCGATGGCCTGACCTGACACGTGATGTCCTCAAATGGTCTTCTCAGTGTGTGTCCAGTTCAATCCATCTCCACCTTCTTCGGCATATTTGTTGGGTGATACGTCCTTGGTTGGTTCCTTGTCAGTCACAGTGAATTCCTTCTTGCTTATTCTTATTATGCTGGCAATCCATCTGATCTTCAGTGTCAGTATCGAGTGAGCGTAGGTGGTGGCTGTTGATGTGATGAATGTCTGTAGTTTGTTGGAAATGCTTTTCTTAGCGCACCGCCATGTCTCTCAACCATCATATTGAAGCACTGACTTCACTTGACTGAATTAGTGTTGAGAATCCGGATCTTGTTCACGCTTTATGCTGAGTTCAGTGCAGTGCAGTAGATCTCCACACTGAGTGTTTCAGGTTAATGAAGACCTGTCTTACTGTCTGTCTGATCCTGGCTTTGACGTGCTCATGTGTGCCGCCAACACCACCACCACCTCCACTTGTAGTTGAAACGATGCTGCCACGCCGAGGTGTGTGTGACAGAGACAACTTCGTTTAGATTCCTCTCGTTGATGGTGATTGATGCTTTCGTTGTTGTTGTTGGTGGTGGTGGTGTTGGTGGTTGGGTATTTTCATCACCTCTGTCTTCTCTACGTTCACCTGAAGTCAGTCGCGTCTTCTCTGCCTCACTTCTTCTGCAAACTTGTTAGTTTTCGCCTGTAGATCTTCGAGTTAGTGCGACATTAGATATAAATGATCATCGGCGGCGAAATTGAAATCTTCTAAGGTCTTTTCAATGGTTCTCGCTCCGCACAGTGTGTTGCATGATCCAGTCCAGTAGACCACAATCAGGAAGATAATCAGTGATAAAAGGCAACCTTACTCCTGTTTTCACTTCAAAGACACCACTGAAGTTTCCATACAACAATCGTCTAATCATGTTGTATTATGCTTATCTCAGCATACAGGATTATAAAAGGTAGGCGGGGATTTCATAGCAGTTAAGTGATATGAGGTGAAGTTGGTTCACATATCTAATGATTATGTCCGAATGATTACTAAACTTTGCAACTATCTCCAACAGTTGTGTCTTTCTGCCGTTGCTGCTCAGCAGTATTGATGGTTTACTTCCGTTTTCAACAATTGCTTTGAATGTAACAGTGTGCCAGTATAGCTTATTTGAACTAGTTAGGTAAATTTATCCCTTCGCCTATTCATCAATTTTCAGATTTTATTTTGAGTTTGGACGTAAAATTGGCTTGGTAATTACTTTCTAACCTCACCGTTACAGACTGTTATTCCTAAACGGAAACACTTTTTATCAGTTATTAGGGAGGTCGTCAAGGATAACTCTAAAAATAAGCCTCTTTTGTCGATAATTTATAATCTTGATATAAAAATATCAATACAAACCAAAGAATTATACAAACATTTTAACTCTAAACAATCCGGTTGATCGGTTCTATTATTCACATTGGAGTTCATTAAACATTGGATGATCTCTCTGATATCCAAATTACCAGGCTTATGTCTAGAAGGGTGCTGGTGGTGTGATGGATGTATTTCCTTCAATTAAATTTACCAAAACTTATTCGTTTTCATTGTTTTAAGCATAATACTTCGGCTCGAGCAGCTTGGTTGTATCATAAAACTTCAAGTAACGAGTGTAAATGTAGCCTAGTACATAAACAAGTATCATGTTGAATAAAATTATTGTTATTATTTTATTATTCAGCACTAAAACCAATCTGTTTATGTACACACTTGATGATGAGCATCATTTCAAGTGCCTGTAGTGATTGTTCAGATCCCTTTGATATTGCTGGGTTAACCGCATGTTCAGTGGAAATAGGTTAAAACTAATCTCGGTTTATGCTATGTGTTTCTTATGCATCCATCTTGTTGTCTTTATTTCAGCCCAATTCCGCCTATGAATGTTATCCGCACAATCTCCCAAGAACCCCACAGTCTAGTGTTTTTCAACAGAATCACTGATGAATAGTACAATTATCTGAAATTCATCTCTAATTTTGCGCCGTTTTGTTTTGTTGGGTCGAGAAATCTTCATTTTTTGTAAACTGACTCTCCATCGTATTGTTAAGAATGAAATTTGTTTCTTCCTCTGGATTATCACAGTC